AGAGCCCCCCCCCGCCCGCCCTCAGCGCAAGGCCTGCTGGGAGCTGTAGTCGCCTGAGGGCGCCCGGGTTGTTTCCCCTCAGGGGCCACACTAGCGAGAGGGAGGGACGGAGGGAGGGGTGGGTGTCCCCCCCTCTGTATCGATCATATAGCTAGATATCTATAGGTATAGCTATTTCTCTCTATATATGTGTCTGTATATATATGTATAGATATAGACATCTGTGCACACACCTTGGCTCGTCCATCAGGTGCACCTCGGCCTCGCCTGCCCCGTCCCACCAGGCTTCAGAGGGACAGTCTCAGTCCCCACAGACCAGCGAGCGGGTGGGCCGCGCCGATCTCCTGAAGCGATGGGGAGCTTGCCTGTCCCCACAGCAGGGGAGAGGAGAAGAGCGCTCTTTAGGATCGAAAAAAGGAGGGGACCAAACCCCCATCTTCTCCGAAAGGACAGGGAGCTGGCTGTGCAGCGGAAGCCCGCTCGGGTCAATATCACTGATGAATTTCAGGGCCCAAAACAAAGGTCTCTGGCAGCGGAGCATTTTCTGAGTATCTCAAGTAATCTCGTCAAGAAACCCCGGGAATCGTAGGCACCTTAACGGTTCAGTTTTGCCGGGGGGGGCCCTCAGATGATGGAAAGTTTACACATTTCACGTGACTCCCTGAGCCCACAGACTCAGCCCCTCCACCAGGAACGAAACCCGCTTTATCGGGCACCTTCGAAAGAGAAATGCAGGTGGCGCCAGGCCAGGCTGCTGCTTGGTGGCCGTCTCTTTGAAACCAGAGCCCTGGGAACCATGGGATTCGTGCACCTCGCACTCGAGCCCAAACTGGGACTGCAGCTGGGCTTCGAAAAACCACCATCTGCCTTTTAGGGAGGGCTGCATTAATCACCAGAATCCATCCCGACCCGCAGGAGAGGAGGCAAGTATCCTTTTACGAGGGTTTTCAAGGTGGCAGAGCGCGTAGTTGTTGCCTATTTCATGCCGTCCTTCCCATCCCATCCCAACTTGCTTTTGGGAACTGAGAGAGGAAACCACGTGTCTTTCGCACGTGGATCTCTCGTTCTGATGCTTTCTGGGTTTGAACTGAGGTTTGGGTGCCTGGCCCACATGAGTATGCAATGAATTTATTCCTTCCTCTTTGAGGGTTGTTTTATTTTAATTATTAAGTAAGAGGAACATGCAGGGATCAGAGCAATAGCCTGAGTAATTATAGTGCATTAGCTTCAAAGATAATTTGAGAGAATTAATTTTCTGATCCTAGGTTTGAGAACACATGACTATCTCAGAAAAAGCCTAAGATCAGAATAAGAGTCTATATCTTTAGCATGTCCTTCTAATGCCTAGAGTGGGGTGGGCAAAATGCGGCCCATGGGCTGGATGCGGCCCGCCAGGCCATCCTATCTCGCCTGCGGGGCCCCTAAAAAGTTTAGAAAATTAATATTAATCTGCCCCTGGCTGCCTGTCATGCAGCCCTCCATGGCTTGCCGAAACTCAGTAAGCAGCCCTCCACCCGAAATAGTTGCCCGCCCCTGGCCTAGAGGCAATGAAGCTCCATTTTTGGTGATTTTCTCATACATCGTGTTATCCAAGACAGAGGTAGACAGTGGTGATTTAATTAATGAGGGGTCATGCTGAACCAAACAGAGGCAGCACTTACGCTATTACCTACAGTGTTTGCTAAGCTTTGATGGTACACACAGCTCTACTTCTATGACCAGTGAGGCATCTGGGAGCCACAGTGAAGCTACATTTTCTTTCCCACCCCCCAGGTAATATCATCTCCAAAAGCCTTCCGTCAGAGCAGTTTAAAGAGCACCTTATAAGTTAGACAGACACCTTCAATAACCATATTATTAAAACACCAACATTGCTTACCTTATTATTAACACTTTGATTCTTACAATAGAAATAACTTTTTCAAAATCGAGTTTGTTTTTCATTAGTAAGGCCATTGTTTATTTTTGCATTCATGGAATGAAACACAGACTAGTCAGTTTTATTTTTTGTTTGTAGTCAGGTTCACCTTCCGGCCTTCCTGCTTTATCCCAATACTGGAAACACTTCAAGGTAAAGTTTAAAATTCTAGCCAAAAAACAAACCTGTTTTTTCATTGCAGTTAAAAAAAATAAAATAAAAATCACAGGGAATTATTTCTGCAAACTTAATTTGTCAAACCCTGAATTTGGGGCCTAAATATATTTAATAAACATCCCTTTAACCCTCAGCTTATGTTATATTTTTTCAGACTTTACATTCACTTTAAATACATCTAATCTTATTCCATGCTTCAGAGAATCAGCTTTGGGATGGAAAGGAGGAATTAGAAAGCTAAAATAGCAAAGAGTCATTAGCATCACTCATACATTTTTTATGTATAAAAGTATTTAGGGTTTAAAAAAATTAAAAAGATCTCATCTGTCTGTCCCCAGGTTGTTGAGTCAGGCTTGCCCGCCCAAGAGGTAGATGGTCCTGGTAGCATCAGGCTATGGAGAATTTTAATTAAAATTTTCTAGCATGCGATAGGTGACAGCTGCTTGTAAGGGACCAGGCACTTAAACCAGCAGATGAGCATTCTCTTGTTTTTTAGGTGATCACATGAGATCCCACATGAGTTTAAGCCCAAAGAAGTTAGTTGTGAGATCTCAAGAACTGTCGACTGACTGCAGACACAAAACTTCACAGATTTCATAGACAGAGCTGGAAGGGACCACGTAAGATCATTAGGTCCAGCCCCCTGCCCAAGGGGCAGGAAGTCAGAAAACTTGCTCATGCTCCAACTATATTGATCCTGTGGAATAGCATCTTTTAAAATTGTAGGATGTATGCATTATACTGAAGAGGCTCTTCTTCTCCTACAGTCCTGAACTTATTAGGGGTGAGCAAACTAGTTTGGAAAAACTCATTGCCCTGAACCACTTGTCCAAGTCTCAAACTGACCCCCAACTGAACCTGTAAGTAATGACCCATTATCAAAAGCAGGAAGAGGAAGCCTCAAAATATCATAGGAATAAATGCTCTCATGATATCCCTAGACTAATCGTCTGATCAAAGGCCCGCTGCGGTCCTTGGAAAGGTTCCCATTGACTTCAGGGAACTTTAATTTTGCAGGTGTTTCAAATAAACTTTATTTAAAACGCCCAGACTATTGGGAAGGCCAACATGTGCATGGAAGTCCCCCGATAGCAAGGAGCTCTTGGTCATGGGAACCAACCGGGGCCAAAAACTCTCCTATAATCCAGAAAGCAGCACTGCTGATACGCAGTGGTACCACAGATTTCAGATGAACAGAAATTCACAGCACTGGCATGTGCAGTCATAGAGAGCTCAGGGGAGAAGGGCAATACAGAGAGTGCAGAGGTGGTTCTAGGCAGCAGTCCCAGGAAATTCAGGGTTTTACACTCAGGGTGCAGAATGCAAAGTTCACATTTAACACATCTGTGTCCTGCAAGCCTACATCACTTCCCCTTGTGAGGGCTATTTTTGTTTATGAATCAAAGCCAGGAACGGCCTGCGATATTTCCTTATGCTTCACTTGATCAGAAAAAGCAAAATAGACTGTGATTCCTGGCTTACACAGTCCACATGCACAGGGGTGTGCATGTGTTCCGGTGGAAGAGGGTTGGCAATGGTGACTAATATTAATAATCCTGTACATTAAGGCACCTGCCATTAAATGAATGTCCTTCTCTTCTGTGCCTAGTTGAATGTTATTTCCTGAGTTCCTGCTTCTGCTGTATTATGTCACCTGCTCCGAGAGTCCTTTGCTCCAAGTTCCGGAAGAAGAGAACGACGGGGAGATGTTGGTACGAGAGGAATGATGGCCCCTCACTCTGCAAAGTCATTACTATCCCTGGGCAAGAGCACATAAAGGCTGGTCGTCTCACAACATAGACTGCAGAAGCTTCTTCCTAAAGGGGTATGTGATAGGAAACAGTTCTGAAGGATTCATTGGCACAGTTATCTTCCCCACGTGCTCACAGAGCCGTCTGGGCATCCGAATGGAACATACTTCCAAACATCTCCTGAAGGGAAGCAACAAGACAGATCGATTAGAACGGATATTGGCACAGCAGTAACAAGTGGAAAAGTCTGGCAGAGTGGTTCGCATAAGCTGGTATCTGGCCTCACACAGGCACTCCACCTTGTTAAGAGGCTGAAAGTATCTCCCTCCACAGACTGTCTTTCATGGTTTGGACCCTCAGCTGGTACAAAGGACTTAATTTCTGCTGAAGCCAGTATAGCTGCATTGATCAGACTTGCATGTGAGCTTGAGGGGCTGACCCAAGAGCTAGTGATGGCATTTGGTTCGGGCCCAATCTCCAGATGCACCAGTCTGGAGACCTTCAGGTCTGAATTTGGACCTGAGCTTCACTGTACAGGCCCGCTTCCTGTATGAACAAATAGCAAAATGCAATAGCCTGGCTGCCCACCTACTCAGGTGTCCTGCGACAACAGCCAGTATCGGATGTTTCCAAGGAAGGTATGACCCATTTAATCCCACAGTGTGCAATATCCATTTTGGGGCCAGGACAGGGAGGGCATTTCTACTTCTGTACTTAAGAATGAAGCTTAATAGCCTCTTTTCTATTGTGCACGGATTAATAAAGACAGCTGACACAGAAGCCTGGGATGGGGGAGCCTCTCTTCAGCAGACAGAAAGTCTTATGGCAGGAGACACTTGCTGCCATAGGCTGTTTCTGTGTGGTCTATGCTGTGCCTAGAGTCGCAGTCTGTCAAATAAGGCTAACGTTCCCTTCTCATGCATTTTGCCAGTTTTATCTATGTACCAGTAGGTTTTAAGCTTCATGGTGTAGGGGCTTACCATAGTGAATGTTCAGTGTCCAGCACATTGGGATTATGTATTTCTACCACAATACAGATATCAAGAATCTGCACCATATTCCAAAGGCTATTCCTGCAAAAAACTTCTAGAAGTCTTCCCAGTCCCCTAGGTGTTTGCTAGTC